CGGCGGCGTGGGGGGCGCGTGGGCGTGGCGGGGGTGGGGGGGGTGGGGGGGGGGGGGGGGGTGCGTGTGTCCCCCATCCCCAGTGTAACATCTCTCCCCCTGTCCTCCCCACAGAGCTGCTGGCAGACAGAGCCGGTAATCGGAGCCGCGGGGGGTTCTGCTCTGGGTGGTGCCGCGCGTTGCTGGTTTTGGGGCTGAAATGGGGGCTTGGGATACTGCTGGTGTGCCAGGACCAACCCTGGCCCCCGGCTGGGTGCTGGCAGCCCCAAATTTGCCTGCTGCCTGTCAGGATCCTCCCACCTGGTCCTTTTGGCACCGTTGGTGCTGTGGGCCAGGGCTGCCCCGGCACCGAGAGCCCACCATGGGCTGCAGAGCTTGCTCTGACAGGCACCAGCTTCACTCTCCGTCCCTAGGGGTGGTGAATTCGGCTTCGTGGGGCTGCTCTTCTCCCCCTGGGGCTTTTGCCTTCCCCCCCTGGTGCTGGAAGCCCCCGTGGTGCTGCACGCTGGTGGAAGGGCTCAGGCACGGCACACCGGAAATGGGCACCTGGAGCTGGTGGCTGCACTGAGGGAATTTGCAGCCCTGGGGGAAAAGATGAGTCAGGGATGGGAAGGGAGAGACTGGAGGGGTCTCAGGGGCGCAGCCGGGTGCAGTGTTGGCCCACGGGGTGCTTCGAGGCGCTAGAGGGCAGCAGGGCCCTGCTGCAGCCACTGCAGCGTGATGCTTGGGCAGCTCAGGAACCTCTTCATGGGGGCCTGCTGGAGGGGAACCCCAGATCCTGCTCTGGGGGAGCATCCCCACATCTTGCTCAGGGTGAGCATCCCAGCCCCAGCTCTGTGCTGCTCCTGGCACCTTCCCTGCATCTCGTGGACACTGGGGATGCTCAAAGCCAGCTCAGCTGCACCAGCCCCCGTTTCCTTGGCCCCTTGACACTTGTACCAGGCTGGATCCGACAGCAGCTCCCCATGCTCTGGGGCAGAACTGAGCTGCTCCCCACCAGTGCCCACAGTGTGGCCGGGCCTCACAGGGGAAGGGCCCCAATGCTGGGTTGCAGTGTCTCACTCTCTCCTGGGGGGAGACCAGGCTTGGCATGTGCGTGGTGTGGTGGTGGCTGCACATGGCGTGTTTCGGCAGGAGGGTGTCCCTGTGCCGCGTGTCTGTGCTGTCGCGTGCCGTTCTTTCTAATTCCTGTCTCTGTTCGCATGGTGCATGCTGCCCTTTTGCAATGCAGACGCCGATGAAGGTAAAGCCTTGGTCTCCACACATCTCTGGCTTCCCCCTCCCACGTGCCACAGCCTTCCTGCTGTCATGTCCTTGCATGTCACCATTAACCTGCTCCCACCTCCCCTGCCCTCCCCCAGCATCCGTGTGCTTGTGTCCAGCAGCCGCGGTCTGTCCTGCTGCATCGTGGTGGGGCTGCTCGGTGCATGTGGCCGAGCAGGGACGTGTCCCTGTGCTGGGGCAGCTCAGAGCCCCATACCGTTACAGGCCCCAGGGGTCCCTGGGCAGCAGCGGTGAGGGGCGATCCCGACTCCCCACCCCACGGCGTGGCTCTGGGCTCAGCCCTGCAGAGGCATGAAGCCATTCACCCCATGTCTCCTCTAATCAGACCCCAAAACACTTCCCAGCCCTCCAGCACTGAGCACGTGCTCCCACTGTGCGCAGCATCCCCAGGCTACTCTGGTCCCAGGTCTGGCTGGAAACGCCCCCCATTTGGGGGGATGCCCTGGCCGGCGCTGAGCTCCCTTCTCCATTCTCCAGCTGGGAGGAAGCAGTTCGCACGGCATGAGTGGGCTCAGAAAGCCGCCTACCTTCTGGGCTGCAGCCTGGAGGAGCTCTCCTCCTCCATCTTCAAGCACCAGCCCAAGGGCACCCTGCAGCGATCCACCTCGTTCCGGCAGGGCCCTGACGAGTCCTCCCTGGGCGATGGTGGCACAGGTAGGGTGAGGGACAGTGGGGACAGCGGGTGGCCCAAGGGGATGCTGGGCTGGGGACACTTAAGGTTGCCTTGGCCAGGTCCCAAGCTGACAGCGCTGGAGTGCCTGGAGGGCATGGCGGCCAGTTTGTACTCCGAGCTCTTCACCCTCCTCATCTCCCTCCTCAACAGGTACGTGCTGAGGGGCCGGGGGGAGAGCCAGGGGTGCCCGGCAGCGCCTGCTCACCCCACTGTGACCCTTTGTCCCCCACAGGGCGCTGAAGTCGAGCCAGCACTCAGTGTGCTCGGTGACAGTGGTGGACACCCCTGGGGCGCAAAACCCCGAGCTGGCAGGGCAGAGCCGGGGGGCCACCTTCGAGGAGCTCTGCCACAACTATGCCCAGGAGCGCCTGCAGCTCCTCTTCCACCAGCGCACCTTCGCCCGCGAGCTGGAGCGCTACAAGGAGGTAACAGGGCTGCCCTCGCCTCCTCCACTCCTGTCCTCCCCTATCCTCTCTGCATGAGCATCTGCTACGATGTCCCTCCAGTTTCTTACCCCACAGTTGCTCTGGACTGGGTCCAACCGAAGCAGCTCTGACACAATGCTCAGTGCAGCAGGGGTTTCCCCAGGGCTCCCACAGCCGGCAGTGCCTTTGTCAGCAGCTCTGGCTCCAGCCAGGCAGCTTTGCCTGCAAACATGCCCAGCTGGGAGGTGATGGGGTGGCTGTGGGTGGTGGTGGTGGGGAAGATCACTGCTGCTGATCCCTCTTGGCACCGATAGCCCAGGGTGACCCCTCCATGTGTCCTGGTCCCCCCTCAGCACCTGGCATTGCCCTGTGCCATGCTGGGGCAGTGGGATGGTGGGACACTGGGAAAGCCCTGCCTTCTGCCTAGACCCCACTGAGACCAATGGCCTGACTAGCTGCCAGTCCCTATCGCTGCTCCCCTGCTGCGTGGGCACTAACCATGCCTCTGTCCCCTCTCGCCAGGAGAACATAGAGCTTGCCCTGGCCGATGTCGAGCCTGGCTCCTCTGGCTCTGTAGCTGCTATAGACCAGCCCTCACACCAGGCACTGGTAAGCACCCGCCATGCTGCTTCATGGCCACATCACAGCTTTCCTGGCCCTTTGGCAGTAGTTAGTTAGGGGAAGCAGGGGGGCTGTACCAAATGCCTGGCCATAAAAGTGCGGCTGTGAGCGTGTGTGCAGCCTGCATCCCTGCTGCATCCCCTAGTATGGTGTCCCTTACCACCCTGGGAGCTGCCTGTGCTGTGGGCAGGAGGGTGAGGAGCCCTTGGGAGATCCCCAGGGTGCTCCAGTCCTTGAGGTGCTCTGGTCCTCAGGATGCTCTCATCCCTGAGATGCTCTGGTCCTCCGGGTGCGTAGGTCCCCAGGGTGCATCAGTCCCTGGGGTGCTCCATTCCCTGCTGGAGGAGGCTGCAGAGACCAAGGGGGACTGCCAGTGCCAGCTGTGCACTGGGTTTCATCTCATGGGTGCCTGAGCACAGTGTTTTCCACCCCAGTGAGCATCTCGCTGCCCGGAGTATTACGTACTGACTCTCCCTGCTGGGTTTCCCTTAAGCGGAGGCCCTCTTGTGTGGTGCTGTTTTGCCTTGCTGCTGACAGCAGCCGAGGTTGCATGCTCCCCAGGTGGCCTGGGTCCCCTGTGTCCTCCCATCCCTGCCTTGGGGAACACCAGGGTGCTGGGCTGGGTGCAAGTGCAGTGTCGCCCGCAGGTCCGGTCGCTGGCCCGCACAGATGAGGCGCGGGGGCTGCTGTGGCTGCTGGAGGAGGAGGCACTGCAGCCGGGCGGCAATGAGGACACCTTGCTGGAGCGGCTCTTCTCCTACTACGGCCCCCAGGAAGGGAGTAAGAAAGGTCGGGGGGGCCTGGCACCACGGGGCCATGCATTGGTGAAGTGCTGGTCCCGTGCCCATTGGTGCCGTGTCTCCCCACAGGGCACAACCCGCTGCTCCCCAGTGACAAACCCCGACACTTCCTCCTGGGTCACAGCTCAGGGACCAGCTGGGTGGAGTACGATGCCACGGGCTGGCTCAACCACGTCAAGCACAACCCAGCCTCCCAAAACGCCTCCGTCCTGCTGCAGGAGTCACAGAAGTGAGTGGAGTCCTGGGGTGGAGTGGGGCAAGCAGGGGGGAGAGGTGATTTTGAGGGGTGACGTCCCCTCCATGCTCCGCAGGAAGGTCATCAGCAGCCTGTTTGCTGGCCGTGGCGGGTCGGCGCTAGTACTGTCAGGCTCAGTGGCAGGGCTGGAGGGGGGCTCCCAGCTGGCCCTACGCCGAGCCACCAGCATGCGTAAGACCTTCACCACTGGCATGGCTGCCGTCAAGAAGAAGTCTCTCTGCATCCAAATCAAGCTGCAAGTGGTGAGTGAGGGGGTCCCTGGGTCCAGCTTGGGGCACTGCTGCTTGTCACTGCTCACTCTGCTCTCCCATGCCTGCAGGATGCCCTCATCGACAGCATCAAGAAGTCCAAGCTCCACTTCGTGCACTGCTTCCTGCCCAAGGCGACAGGGGGTGGCGGGGACCTGCGGACTCTGCCATGCCGACGGGTGAGCGGCAGCGAGCTGGAGCTGCCAGCAGAGCACTGCGAGGCTGGGCTCATGCAGCTGGATGTGCCTCTCCTGCGTGCCCAGCTCCGCGGCTCCCGCCTGCTTGATGCCCTCCGCATGTACCGCCAAGGTGAGCTGCACTGCCGGCACCGCTGGCACCCAGGGCTGGGGGATGCCAGGGCTGTGGTGTGCATCCCACTGTGGGGATGGATGCCATCGGAGTCCCAGCTGTGTCTCCTCCTTGGGGAGCCAAAGCCACCCTGGGGAACTCCTTTGGCACATGGCCTTACTCCGAGCCCCATGGCTGCCAGCCATCCCCCCTCCCCCATGGAACCGTTATCTGCGCCGGGGACAGGCATGGCCTTAATTGGGTGTCTCTGCTGGTGCCGCTGGCTCCTGGCAGCTTTCCTTCTGGCAGCTGGCCCCTGTCCTGCTGGGGTGAGGGACTCCGGGTTGTGCTCAGCAAAGCATTTATTGATATGCGTGGCCAGCCACCCAGCTGAGGTTTTATTGCCTGGAGGCCGGACCCTTCCTGCCACGATCGGAAATCTATGCCACCTGCACACCTCCTGGATCGATGGTCGCAGCCAACCGGCTATGCCGGGGTCAGCATCCCCGTCAATACCCCGTTGTTAATTAAGATGTGGAGGCTCAGCACTGTGAGCCTGATGCAGAAGTCGGCTGCGGCTCAGAACTGAGCTGGAGCAGGGCCTGTTTGCTTGCACAGGCGACACGTGTCCTTGCGCTCCCCCCAAGGCGGGATCTGGCCACTTTCTCCCCAGATCCCAGCCAAAATTGCTGGAGGACACAGCCAAGAAAAACCTCCCGGGGAGGGTCAGGGTTCTCCAGCTGTGCCTGGCCCCGTGGGGAGTTTGTGCCACGTGGGGTGACCCCATCAGCTCTCCCAAGAGATGGGCCCCAGCAAGTCAGGGCATGCAGGGCTGTTCCCAGCCATCCCCGGGGCATCCTGATTGCCCCCACAGCCCCACTCTCCCTTGCTCCCCCTAGGATACCCCGACCACATGGTGTTTGCGGAGTTCAGGCGGCGCTTCGATGTCCTGGCTCCGCACCTGACAAAGAAGCACGGGCGCAACTACATCGTGGTGGACGAGAAGAGGGTACATGCCCCATGCTGGGGCCAGTGCTGCAGTCTGGGGTCCCCTGCACCCGGGGAGCCCCCTGCACTCTGGGATGCCACCAGCCCGGCCTTGACACCTCTCCCTCCCCGCAGGCAGTGGAGGAGCTACTGGAGTCGCTGGACCTGGAGAAGAGCAGCTACCACATGGGCTTGAGCCGGGTATGATGCCCGACACTGGCTGGGGGTGCCAGTGGTGGCACAGGCAGGGGTGGGTGGCATGGCTTGACACAGCATGGCGGGGCAGCACAAGGGCGGCACTGTTTGCTCTGACCTATGGCATTCCTTGTGCCTGGGAAGTAAAATCCCCACGGCAGGACAGGACCAGTGGCTGCAGAGGGGGGAGCCGCATTCCCCCCAGCCAGTGTGGTGGGAGGGTGTCACATGTTGGCACCCGTCGGGATCTCACCTTGTTCCTCTCCCACAGGTGTTTTTCCGGGCCGGGTTGCTGGCCAGGCTGGAGGAGCAGCGGGATGCACAGACCAGCAGGAACATCACCCTCTTCCAGGCGGCTTGCAGGGGCTTCCTGGCACGGCAGCAGTTCAAGAAGAGGAAGGTTCGTCCCAGCAGCTCTCCCCTCCCCGCTCCTCCGCACAATTTCGCCTAAAATGGGCAGCGCAGCCTTTCTGCCGCTGCCTGGGCCAGCACCTCCTCCTCCCGCCTCCCCCCCCCAGTGCCCGCCCAGCCGTGGGGGGCCGGGGGGAAGCAGGGGAACCGGCAGGGAGGGCGCTGGGCATCACTGCGGCAGGTTGAAGCGGCGTATCAGCTCCTACTTTTATTATTAAAGGAGGGCATAAAATAGGCATCTCGGCAGCACCTTGCCTTCTCCAAGACTGGCCTTTTGAGGGGCTGGAGGGAATCAAACAGTAGATAAGCCAGGCGCAATTAGCCCAAATGCTAACGAAGGGGAGTGTGCTGGGGTGCTGGCAGGGGTGCTGAGTGCCCGCCCGCTTCACTTTGACCCGCTGGCGGCACCTGTGCTGACACTGTACCCTGTGCAGATCCAGGATTTGGCCATCCGGTGCGTGCAGAAGAACATCAAGAAGAACAAGGGGGTGAAGGACTGGCCCTGGTGGAAGCTCTTCACCACCGTGCGGCCCCTCATCGAGGTGCAGCTCACGGAGGACCAGATCCGCGGCAAAGACGTGGGTATCTCTGTGCCGGGATACGCTGGATGGGGCAGGGTGGCCTCAGGGGAGCGTTGATCCCAGGCAGGGCCCTGCAGTCAGGTGGGATGCAGGACCCCAGGGAAGGGTGGGATGCAGGACCGCCCGCTAGCAGCAGGCTCGAATTGCTCCCTAATTTGCGAATCAGCGTGTCATTAGCATCCCAAGAGCCGGCTGTTGCATGAGCCCAATTACAAGGTGTGGAGAATGGAAATGAAACTGTGTGCCAAGAGGCATATGCGGGGGCTCCATGCTGCACTGGCAACCAGACACCACCGAGCCCACCTGGCATGGAGCTGCTGCCTGGCTCAGCTTTTACCCTGACCCGCTGAGGATGGGTGCCTGGAGTGGGGGCACCTGGGCCCCCTTGTGTCCCCCCGCAGCCTGTGCTGGGTCCAGAGGAGGGGAGAGAAAGATGTGCTTGAAGCTGGCAGCCGGGCACGCCTCCCTGGTGCTGGCGGGTGGGCCCCCTCCCTCCCCACCGTGGCTGGGTGCACCCAAACCCTTCAGCGAGCTGCTGGCGGGTGGGTTTACTCCCACCCTTCTCTTGGGGGGTGCGAGGACCCCTCACCAGCTTTGCCGGGGCTGCCTGGCATTTCAACACCATTTATGGGGTTGGAGTCAGTATGGCGGCAGAGCCAGTTGGGGAAAGTCCCTGCCCAGCCCTTGGCAAGGGAGAAGGACCCCCGCCCCGGGGAGCCCCCACCCTGCCCACCCAGTGCTGGGGGGGGGGACTGGGAGGCGGGCAGAGACCTGCCAGACTCCTGCCTGCCAACCTCTTCCCCTTGCACCTGCCCCCTCCCTTACTGCTTGCTCTGTTGCAGGAAGAGATCCAGCAGCTGAAGAGCAAACTCGAGAAGGTGGAGAAGGAGCGTAACGAGCTCCGGCTCAACAGCGACCGCCTGGAGAGCAGGGTAGGTTCTTGCTGGCACCAGGAGGGGGTGCAGTGCTGTGCTGGCCTGCCCGAGCGCCTGCCCCCGCCCACGGTCTGGCTCCCCCTCACCCCAGATCACAGAGCTAACATCGGAGCTGACAGACGAGCGAAATACTGGCGAGTCGGCCTCCCAGCTGCTGGACGCTGAGACGGCCGAGAGGCTGCGGGCCGAGAAAGAGATGAAGGACCTGCAGGTACACGCGCCTCTCCCCGGCCTTGCAGTGTCTCCCAGCCCCTTCCACGGCTCACCATGGCCGTGTCCCCTCCCAGGCCAAGTACGATGCTCTGAAGAAGCAGATGGAGTCGATGGAGATGGAGGTGATGGAGGCTCGGCTCATCCGGGCGGCCGAGCTCAATGGAGAGCTCGACGATGATGATTCAGGTACCATCCTGCCTTTGGTGCCTGCTGCCAGCACACCCTGGGTGCCCCGTGGTCACAGCACCGTGCCCTCCTCTCCACGGAGGCATTGCCCTCCCGTGGGGCCCTGTACCACCCCACGCAGCCCCTCGGTGACCCCATTTCCCTGCGCAGGTGGCGAATGGCGGCTGAAATATGAGCGGGCAGTGCGAGAGATCGACTTCACCAAGAAACGGCTGCAGCAGGAGCTGGAGGACAAGCTGGAGGTGGAACAGCAGAGCAAGAGGCAGCTGGAGCGGCGGGTGAGTGGGGCTCCGCCCCAGGGAGCCCCCCAGTCCCCCCAGCATGGGGATGGGCAGCCCCTGCCTGCTCAGAGCTGAGGGAGCACGTGGCCAGGGCAGTGGGGACATGGTGGCTTCCCAGAGCCCTGACCGCCCTGCCTGCTCCTGCCCGCAGCTGATGGACCTGCAGGCAGACAGTGAGGAGAGCCAGCGGGCGCTGCAGCAGCTGAAGAAGAAGTGTCAGCGCCTGGCCGCAGAGCTGCAGGACACCAAGCTGCACCTCGAGGGCCAGCAAGGACGCAACCACGACCTGGAGAAGAAGCAGCGGAGGTTGGGACCGCATGCTGGTGGCGGGGGGGACGCAGCAGGGACGGCATTCTCGCTGCACAGCGAGCCTCTTGCAAAGCAGCATTACCATTTTAGCAGCGATTTGGGCACTTCACCAGCTCCCGCTTGGCTGAGGCATCTCTGGTGGGAAGGGGTTGCCTGGGTCAGATGTATTCATTGTGGGGGGGACCCCGATGCCCTTTTGGGGGGCTCAGAGCCAAGTTATCCTCCCACGTGGGGCTGTGGCCCATGGTGGAGGCTGCTCGTGCCCTGCAGCTCTGCTTGGCGCTCAATATCATCCCGTCCCCTCTCCCAGCCCCAAAGTTTGCTAACGTTATTAAGCAGCAGGGACGCTTTCATCTCATTATGGTAATGATCACACACATAAATACAGCAAGAGAATCCAATCTAATTAATTTCAATTTCCGTGGATTGGAGTCTGTGCTAACGCAGCTGTTTATTACCCAGCGCGAGGAAAGATGAGGATTAGCTGCCAAGGTGTTTAACGCAGGTCACAAATTCAAGCACGGGGTTGTTTTCCAAGCCCCAAAGACAGCAATTTCAGAGAAAACCTGGCTGATCCCATCCCAGGGGCACTGAGAGAGGCTGCCCCAGTGCTGCCTGGCTCCAGGCTGCACTGAGCACTCCCCTACTGGGGGCTAGTGTCCCCTCCAGGGATGGGACTGGTGCCATCCCACGTGGAACCGTGGGACCAGGCTGTGGCTGGGGGAGCCAGCTCCATCTCTGTTGGAGACCCCCCCATGTGTCATGGCCCTTCCATGTCCTGCTTGGAGGTCACAGTGTCCCTGGCTGCCACTGCATAGCCATGCCCCCACCATTAGCAGCCATGGCCCGCACCAGCCCCGTGGGGTGGCTGATGGGGCTGTTGGGGTCTGCACTGTGGGGGCTGCACTCTCCATGAGCCGCTGAGTGAAGACGTGAGGAGTTTCTCCAGGTGACTCCGTGCCACCATGCTGGCAATTAAAGGCTCATCAACAGTATGTTTCCAATGAGTGCCCAGCAGCATGCCGTTCTTCCTGGTGCCTGCTGCCATGGGATGGGGATGCTCGGTGCAGGGCTGGTGACACGGGGCTGGGGACCCCTCCCCAGTGCCCATCACGGGGCACTGAGCACCCGCCCCACTCTCCCCATGCAGGTTTGACAGTGAGCTCTCGCAGGCGCACGAGGAGGCGCAGCGGGAGAGGCTGCAGCGGGAGAAGCTGAGCCGCGAGAAGGACGTGCTGGTGGCCGAGGTCTTTGGCCTCAAACAGCTGCTGGAGGTGAGCAGACCCCAGTCCCTTCCCCAGACCCCAGTCAGTGGACACCCTCGGCTCATGGTGACCTCCTCTTTTGGCAGGACAAGGACTCAGACATTGCGGGGCTGATGCAGAAGGTGGAGGTGCTGGAGGCCGAGCTGCAGGACATCTCCTCCCAGGAGTCAAAGGACGAGGCATCCCTGGCCAAGGTGAAGAAGCAGCTGCGGGACCTGGAGGCGAAGGTCAAAGACCAAGAGGAGGAACTGGACGAGCAGGCTGGGACAATTCAGATGCTGGAGCAGGTATGGCAGTGTCATGGTTTACCCCCAGTCATCAACTAAGCCCCACACAGCCACTTGCTCACACCCCCCCTGCCTCACGGTGGGATGGGGGAGAGAATCAGAAAAAAAAAGTAAAACCCACGGATTGAGATAAAGACAGTTTAATAGGACAGCAGAGGAAAAACCAAGTGATGCCACTGCTCACCCCCCATCGACCAATGCCCAGCCTGTCCCCAAGCAGCGATCGCTGCCCCCCAACCAACTCCCCCAGTTTATATACTGGGCATGACGTCATATGTGATGGAATAGCCCTTTGGCCAGTCTGGGTCGGCTGTCCTGGCTGTGCTCCTTCTCAGCTTCTTGTGCACCTGGCAGAGTATGGGAAGCTGAAAAGTCCTTGACTAGTGTAAACGCTACTTAGCAACAACTAAAACATCAGTGTGTTGTCAACATGATTCTCATCCTAAATCCAAAACACAGCACTATAACAGCTACTAAGATGAGAATTAACTCTATCCCAGCTGAAACCAGGACAGGCAGGGAGGGGCAAGGTTTCTGGGTGGGGTGGTTTCGTGCAGGGCTGTTATTACCTGGGCCGGGCTTGCCTGGGAAGCGGAGGCAGTCACCCTGAGCCCGGCATCGAGCCAGGCACCGCTGCTGCCGACACGGCTCCTGGCCCTCTGTGCTATGGCCTGGCAGGTCACCATGGGGCGGGCAGCCCAGCCACCCTCAGACCAGGGGGTTTTCCGGGTGAGCAGTGCCTGAGGAGTGGTGGGGGGGGGGGGGGGGGGTGGAGAGCCGTGATGAGGAGGTGGAAGAGATTCGGCAGTCGTGCCAAAAGAAGGTAGGGCTTGGCTGCAGCCCCTCTGCCCAGGCGGGGACAGGATGTGTCCCTGTGCCCCGGCCAGCTGCCAGGAGCTGCTGACCGGGCACCGTCATGCAGCAACCAGCTCCCACACGGCTGCGGCTCAGCTCCACTGGCCCAGCAGGTCTGACTGGTCCCTCTGCTGCCCTGGCCGGTGTGTGCTGGGCTTTGAGCTTCTGGTTGCACAAATACCCAGCCAGTGGGGTCAGCCAGCATCCCCACTATGTTGGCACACGTGATCAGGGGTGCCCGGCCCCTTCTTGCCACCCTGACTGGGCTGCCGTTGCTGTCCTCAGCTGAAGCAGATGGAGGTGCAGCTGGAGGAGGAGTACGAGGACAAGCAGAAGGTGCTGAGAGAGAAACGGGAGCTGGAGAGCAAGTTATCTGCTGTCAGCGAGCAGGTAGGGTGCAGGGCAGCCGGGCACATCCCTCGCTTCAGGGACCCCAAGGTGACCGTGGTGGAGTGGGTGCCCTGCCAGCACAGTACCCTGGCACAGTCCCCCCTGCTGCAGGCCAACCAGCGGGACTTCGAGACGGAGAAGCGCCTGCGCCGGGACCTGAAGAGGACGAAGGCACTGCTGGCTGACGCGCAGATCATGCTGGACCACCTGAAGAACAATGCGCCCAGCAAGAGGGAGATCGCCCAGCTCAAGAATCAGGTGTGCATCCAGACCCCCCCAAAACTGCAGCCCTTGAGGGACGCAGGGTGTTCCCATCCCCTGGCCAGGCACTGAGCCATGTCCCCACAGCTGGAGGAGTCAGAGTTCACCTGTGCAGCTGCTGTCAAGGCCCGCAAGTCAATGGAGGTGGAGATCGAAGACCTCCACCTGCAGATTGATGACCTCGCCAAGGCGAAGGCAGCGGTAAGCGTTTTTGGGATGCGAAGCACCATGATGGGGCCATGCCCCACCTGCACCCAAGGGGAGACCCCTACTGGCATGGCACATGCTGGCAGGGTGACCACTGCACTGTTTGGGGTGGTTTTGGAGGGTGGGTGCCCCACTCCTGGGGTGCAGCGGGAGACACAGGCGGCTCCCCCCAGCTGGAGGAGCAGCTGAGCCGGCTGCAACGGGAGAAGAACGAGGTGCAGAGTCGGCTGGAGGAGGACCAGGAGGACATGAACGAGCTGATGAAGAAGCACAAGGCGGCTGTGGCCCAGGTGAGAGGGGAACAGCAGCTGGGGCACTCATGACCCCCCCGCCCTGTAACGCCCCTCTCAGAGCTGGCGCAGTGGGGTCCCCACTGACAGCCCCGGTCTGTCCCACAGGCGTCCCGGGACCTGGCACAGATGAATGACCTCCAGGCACAGCTGGAGGAGGTCAGCAAGGAGAAGCAGGAGCTGCAGGAGAAGGTGGGGAGCACTGACATCGTGCATGGGCATGCATGGCAAGTGGAGCCAGGGGGCACCCAGAGACCTGCTGTCCACACTATGGGGGGGCCCCCTGCACCCTGGGGGTGCAGAGCAGTCCCACAGGGAGCTCTCTGTTGGGATGGGAGCAGCGTGGCCGGCAGCTCCGCTCCAGGGTGGTGTGGTAGGGGGTCAGGGAGGTGGTGCTTGAGGCTGAGGCTGTGCCTGCCGCCACAGCTGCAAGGCCTGCAGAGTCAGCTGGAGTTCCTGGAGCAGTCCATGGTGGACAAGTCACTGGTGAGCCGGCAAGAGGCCAAGATCCGTGAGCTGGAGACCAGACTGGAGTTTGAGCGGACACAAGTCAAGCGCCTGGAGGTAGGCGCCTGGGCAGTCTCTGCTACATCTGAGACTAGGATGCAATGGGACCATGATGCAAAGCTGCCCAGGGGGTCCACTGAGCACATCCCCAATATCCCCTCCCTGGGCCCCCCCCCACTGGAGCCCTCCCCTGCCAGCAGCCCAGCCTCGGCCCTGCAGGGAAAGCTCTCTGCAAGCGCTGATAACAATAATCCACCACCCAGCCCAGCAAAGTGCTGCTATTTCCCTGCATTGACTTAGGGAAATTATAGACTTTCCCAGCCCTGCTAAACGCAGCCTTCTTTATATTCTGCCTTTGCAGCTCTGCCAGGGGAGTGGAGCAGCTTAGCTCTCTTAATATTTTCCTAGCTGTTATTTCCCTTCCCCACTTGCTCTGCCAGGACCATAAATATGCAGCGGCTGGCTCAGTGGCTGGGAGAGAATGGGAGCTATTTTTTCCCTACGTTACATTCTGTAATTACTTCACACGCAGTTGAATCTATTTTTCCAATTCGACAAAGCCCCTGCGGGTTGTTCTGCCCCTTCCCTGGCCCTGGGGCAAGGGTTTCTCCTCCATCTCCTTGTGTAAATTCATGGGGATGGGATCCGTCCTCGCGTGAGCCCTTGGGTGTTGCTGCAGAGTGTGGGGTCCACGGGAGGATCTGGGGTGACCCTGCGCCCACTGGTCTGCAGAGCCTGGCCACGCGGCTGAAGGAGAACATGGAGAAGCTGACGGAGGAGCGGGATCAGCGTGCAGCCGCCGAGAACCGGGAAAAGGAGCAGAACAAGCGGCTGCAGCGGCAGGGCCGCGGAGGAGGAGATGGGCGAGCTGGCCAAGAAGGAGGCAGAGGCCAGCCGCAAGAAGCACGAGCTGGTGAGGCACCTGCGACGGTCAGGGCAGGGGGGTAGCAGGATTTCCCCGGGGTGCCTGGCTCACCCCGCTCCTTCCCCACAGGAGATGGACCTGGAGAGCCTGGAAGCCGCCAACCAGAGCCTGCAGTCGGACCTGAAGCTGGCCTTCAAGCGCATCGGGGACCTGCAGGCGGCCATCGAGGATGAGATGGAGAGTGATAGCAATGAGGACCTCATCAACAGGTGAGAGCGCCTGGGCCCGGCTCCTGTGCAGGGCACATCACTGGGGCTCACCGCTTCTCCTCGCCACTTATGAAATGCCACGGGGACCCCTTGGCTCTGCCTGGCCCTGTCAGGATGCCATCTGCCCATCCATGCATCATGCACATGTGCATTTGTCTGTGCACCTGTGCATCTGTCCATCCATGCATTGTGCACACGTGCATCGGTTGGTGTATCCATCCCTCCCTCCACCCGCAGCCCCTGTGCAGCTTCACCCGCTTGCAGAGGTGCCTGAAATGCAGCCAGGGTTGTGCTGGCTGGCTGGAAACAGCCTGGGGAGCCCCAGGAGCCCGGGCAGTGCAGGCTGGCAGGAGGTCTGGGATGCTGGGATCCAGCCTGGCCCAGGACGCTGGGATCTAGCCCACCTTGGGACGCTGGGATCCAGCCCAGCCCAGGACGCTGGGATCCAGACCGACCTGGGACGCTGGGATCCAGACGGACCTGGGATGCTGGGATCCAGCCCAGGATGCTGGGATTCAGCCGGGTGCAGCCCCACACCAGAGGTTCAGGGCAGCCACACCTCCCTCCCCTGACCCTTGCCCACCATTTAATTTGCCCCCCATTCGTTCCCTACCCACTTGGTCTTTTTTTTCCCTTTCATTTGATTTCCTTTTTGTTGTGTTTCTCCCCTCTCTGACCTCCCTGAACCCATCCCAGTTTGCAGGACATGGTGGCAAAGTATCAGAAAAGAAAGAGTAAACTGTGAGGAGCTCCTCTTTCCTTCCTCCCCTCCCCTAACCCCCACCTCACCCCCATGGGCCGGGGCCCCGCATGCTGCTGGCCTACCTCCGCATGCCCTAACAGCACCTGTGGCATGACACAGCACATAACCGCATCCCATGCGGGGGGACAAGGGATGAGCCCGTGGGCCGGGGTGGGGGGGTGATGCTCTACCACAGCTAATGATGAGTGTATCGGTGTGGAGCAGTGATGGAGCCCCGCTGCCATGCACAATTAATATCCCCCACTGCAGTCACACCCCCACGACCCAGGTCCTGCTTATACTAACGGCACGCTCGCCTGGACATTTCAATTGACGCAAAACGTCAATTGCGTTTGACGTGGAGTTTAATTCTGCTGGTTATAAAACCTTAGCTGCCCCAGAGTTTGTTTACGGGGCTCATTTGGGGTTTTTTTTGTTGTTGTTCTGTGGTTTTTTGTTGTTTTTTTTTTTCCAAGCTGAGTGTTGCCTGGATGTATTGCAGGGGAGGGAGATGCACGTGATGGAGTGTGGCTCATTGCTTTGAATTTAATGAGGAGGATTCATATACAGGGTCTATCCCAACCCGCCCCCCATGCTGTCTGCTGCCATCCCCAGGCAGGGAATAAGTCCAAAGCCGGGTGGATAAAACAGCCGTTTAAGATCATATGATATATCCCTTCCCTGGCAGTGGCTCAGTGGGAGCCCTCACCTCTCACTGGCCAGTGGCAGGGTGGGGAGAGAGGGGGCCGTGCCGCTTCGATTTCCTTATAGATCCCGCCGGTACTGCCATAACCCTAATGAAAGCAGTAAGCAGTTGGGTATTAAGGGAGATTTACGCAGGGATGCTTTTAACATGGAGGAATGGATTTTGCAATGCATACGGCACCTTCTTTCTAAAGGCAATCAATATGGTTATGAACGGCCGTTATAAATTAGATGGTTTAAGCCAGATAGGGCTTTTTTTTTACGCTTGGATGTAAATCAGGGGCTCTCCAGCACGGCAGGGCTCTAAATCTGCCCACTGTGCTCCTGCGCCCGTCTTGCTGGAGTCATTTCTGTTCTGCCTGCTAAACTCCTGTTTACCCAGGGCCATCAACATCGCTCTTCCTCGCTGTAATTTTGCACTTGACGGTGGCCTATAAAATGAATGGACTTATTTCCTTCCCAGCCCCAGAACTGGAAATCTCCTGTGTTTCTGGAGCTGTGCCCTGCCTGCTGCCCCTTGCTGCCCTGACGCCAGCCCTGCTGTCTTATCTTTCCAGCCCTGGAGCTGTGCAGTAGCAGGGGGGGACGTTAGGCAGAGGGTGCAGGAGCCTCTTGGCCAGGCAGGGGAGTGGTTTGGGGGTTTGGAGGGTGCGTGGCACAGCTGTGGTTTGGGGAGCCCCCAGCATGCAGGTTGAGCTGTATGCATGCAGGTTGTGCCCTGGGAGACAGTGCGGGACCACAGAATGAGGTTTCACCCATACCAGCATACACAAGCAGTGGGTGCTGGGGGGGTTCGGCGCCCGCCAGCACAATTTTGCCTCCCCAGCACCCAAAATCTCACCGCCCCATGCTCACCTCTTGCTTTTTCCCACCCCAACCCGCTCCTCTGGCAGTGACGGTGACTCGGACGTGGACTCAGAGCTGGAGGAGCGTGTGGACGGGGTGAAGTCCTGGCTCTCTAAGAACAAAGCGCTTTCGGATGATGGCAGCCTGAAGGGCAGCAGGTAGGTGCAGAGCTGGGCGCAGAGCTGGGGGCAGAGGACAGGGTGGGCTGTGCTGGGGGATGGCTGGGGTGTAGGGTGGGCACCCATGGGACGTGGCATTCTGGGTGCTGCGCTGCTGCCCGGTGGCCAGCCAGGGAAGGGTTAATCCTGGTGAGTGGCTCTGGTCTTCATTTGGGGACACATGCCTTCCACCTACAGCACCTGCGGCACAGGGACTTACCCTGGAGGTGCATGGGCATTTGTCAGCAGTGGTGAGCTCCAGCCCTGTGCATCATCCCCCTGCTTTGGGGCTGGATCCCCCCCTCCATCCTCCCCTCGTTTGCAGCTCCACTACATCCCTCCCCACACCTCTTGGCAAACACCGGCTGCCCACACAGCCCCGGCAGCGCTGGCAGAGGGGGAGGACATGCCTGGGTGCCCCCATGGTGCAGGGCCAACATGGGGCTGGGGCACACAGCCGCCCTCCCACTCCCCGGGGAAGGCACTCACCTGCTGAGCGCAGATTGCTTTTATCCAAACCCAATTTCCTAGCAGGGCTCTGGGTGTCCCGGGGGGCTCCCTGCCTCTGCCAAGCAGGGGGGAAAGATCTGAGCTGGTTTTTCTTAATTGGTTTCATTTATTCAGCGGTGCAGATGTAAAACATTTTGTTATTGGAGATAATTCCACCTTTGCTGAAGTCAGGAATCAAATGCAGTGGCTCCAGGTAGCCGACAATGAAATAAATTGAACACAACACTTTTAAGGGGAATCAAAGTGCTGGGCTAGAACAATTCCCCCATTTACATGACATGTTTCCATGATGCTATTTCTCGCTGACACAAATTACCAAGGCTGCCTCACTGGCACGCTGCCCCCACCTCACCCGCTCATCTCCATCTCTCTCTTGTCTCCCTGATGCATGCGTGGGGCCCTGGGGCTGCTGGCACAGGTCGGCCCCACCAGATGGTCCTGAGGGCGAGGAGCGGCCAGTGTCGGTGTTGAGCTGCCTCAGCTATAGGAAGCGGCCAGGCCTCAAGGACTCCATAGGTGGCCATGGGGACGAACAGACACTCTTCAGCGCTCTTGGCGAGCGACCGCCTTCCCCTGAGCATGCTGCCCATAGGGTGGCCCGGGGTGGCGAGGCTGAGGACCGGGCGGCCATCATCGCCCGTGCCTTTGCTGATGCCAGTGGCCGGGCTCGGCAAGGGTTGGGCAAGCGCTGGTCCCTCTCAGCTGCTGACGACGAGAAAGCCTCCATCGCCTCTGCCCCAGTGAGCCGGGCCTCCTCCGCCTCCTGGCGTGGGCTGGAGGACAGGGATGAGGGGGGGTGCTCGGTGCTGAGCTTTGCCCTCTCCAGCCCCGGGAGCTTGCGGAGCCGGCGCGGGGGGCCCGAGGGTCGCCCCGAGTCACGTCTCTCCCTGGCCCGCAGCCACCTGGAAGAGGCAGATGAGGGGTCCCGTGGGCAGCCCCCCCTGGGGCGCAGCTTTTCTGTGCCCCCCCGGCCCCGCAGTGCCGCCTCCGAGGGAGGGGGTCCCGGGGACGCCCACCCTGTGGGGCACCGCTCCTACCTCGACCCCGACCTGGAAGCTGCCATCCAGGAGGTGCTGAGTTACCGCCCACCACAGGCCAGGGGCTGCTCAAGCCCCGAGGCCGACTCAGGGGATGACAGCCAGAGCATGCGGAGTGCAGCCCCCCTGGGTCCTGTCGACTGCCCCCCCGGCAGCCTCCGCCGTTCCGCATCCGCCCATGACTTCTCCCGGCGTGCCTGCCAGCACCAAAAAAAAGTGCCAAGAAGCGAGCCAAGAAGGCCAAGAAGAAATCCAAGAAGAAGAAGCAGCAGCAGTCATCATCCAACTCAGGTTCCTCCTCCGATTCTTCCTCCTGCTCCACCAGCTCCTACCGCAGCACCTCCAGCATCAAGAAGGGCCCACAGGTGGCAGGGGGTGAGGAGCTGGGACGCCCTGGCCGGGGCAAAAAGGAGGAGAAGCAGTGGAAGAAGCAGGTCAACAGCCTGATGATGAAGTACCTGTACCGGCCTGAGAGCGACTGAGGCAGGAGGTGGGAGCGGTGTGTGCCATGCAGCATGAACTTCCCCGTGTGCCACTAACTGCTCACCCTAACCCTCGCCCGGCTCCAGGCATGGAGCCCACCTCCGCCAGGCAGACCTGCTTTTGGGGTGCTGCTGGGCATCCCCAACACATCTCTGGCCATGGGGAGCATCCTCGGCATGGCCATGATGGGACCAGCAGCTGCCTATGCTGCCAGGATGCAGCGTGTTTGGGATTAGCGGCTGTGGCACATGGGATACCAGGATGCGCTAATCCCTTCCCGGCTGCCCGACCACTGGCCAGGAAGTAGCTGAATTTATTCCTTCAGGAAAGATAAGGGTTTGCCAGGCGGCGGAGCATCCCCACTTGCCTCTGGCATTTCACCACCCTGGGGACAACAGTGGGTCCCGAAGGTGGCAGGGAAGAGCAGGGCGGGTACTAACACGCACCCACTGCAGTATGTGAGTGTGGGGGAGGCAGCATCTGTGAGGGGGGAGCCGGGGTGGGCGATTGGGGCTCGGAGGTGTGTTTCTCAGGGCAGCTGCATCCCGCTGCCCTGCGCCATGTAGGGTGGCTGTGACAGGGAATTAGGGTGTGAACAGGGCTTTGGGGCCCTGCACCCTGTTTAATGGCAGAGGAGAGGGTGCGCTGGGGCTTGCCAACAGCAATTCCGGAGCAGGTTCAATCCTTTCCAACAACTTGAATAGGAGAGGGGCTGGAGGAGGGGAAAAAAAGCCTTTTGGAAACATGGTCACAGTTAGGCTGCCTGCTGCCTGCCAGGCTGCCTGTCCCAGGTCCAGGGAAGGCATTATAGGGTGGCAGAGGGGGGAAGCACCCCCAGCACCCAGCCGTGGGCTCCAGTGCAATCAGGACCCTTGAGTGGTGACACTCGTGAGCACCAGCATTTGCATCCACAGCCACGTGCCTTTTTCTGAGCACATGGTGCCGGGTGCCTGTGGGGGCTGCAGCCGCTGGGCAGGCTCAGCTTGGCTCACTGCAGAGCAGGGGCTCAGCCCAGCGAGGAGTCAGTTGCGGTGGAGCATGCCCTAGATATCTCAGAAATAATAAAAAAGGTGGCCATCGAGGCTCCATCCAGCTGGCTGCCAGCGTGCTGGCTTGCCGCGGCTCCCGGTGCAGCCAGAGGGGAGGTGTGCCTGGCAGCAGAGCCCTGCTGCAGCACTGCATGTGCTGGGGCATTGGGGGGCCCCCCGTCCCTCCACTAACCCTGCTCTCTCCTGCACAGCCTCCCAGGCTCCCGGCACCCCTTCACCTACGACACATGGGACGAGGAGCAGGACACCGAGGAAAGCACGCGCCGCTCCTCCCACAGCTCCCCCAGCGCCAGCGAGGCAGAGAGCCGGGCCGCCGAGACCCCCGCCTAGCCCCCCCCTCCTTGCTCATTGTCCCAGAAACACTCAGCTCCTTTGCGGGGCCGCCCCGGGCAGCCAGTATTTCTTCTGCACCGGGGAAGGGTGGACATGCAGCAGCCCCCCAGCCCTAGCCACGGCGGGAGCAGCCCGGCCGGCTCGCTGGCTGCAGCCCCCATGCCGCCCCCACCCCCTCACACCCCCTTCTGTCCTCGGCGGCAGAGCTGGCATCTCTGGCACCCTGGGTTTATTCCTCAGTGCCTGCTGGCTCCTTATTTTATAAGTTAAACTCCCCCCACCCCTGGGCACCCCCGCATCCTTTTAAGCCCCTTTTAAGTTGAGCCAAAGACGTCTCTCACTGGCTGGGCCCTGAGGAGTAGCTGCCCTGCATCTCTCACACCCCCTTCTGTCCTCGGCGGCAGAGCTGGCATCTCTGGCACCCTGGGTTTATTCCTCAGTGCCTGCTGGCTCCTTATTTTATAAGTTAAACTCCCCCCACCCCTGGGCACCCCCGCATCCTTTTAAGCCCCTTTTAAGTTGAGCCAAAGACGTCTCTCACTGGCTGGGCCCTGAGGAGTAGCTGCCCTGCAGCTGGGAAGCAGATGTGGGGACAGGGTCCTGCATGCCCCTCAGGTTGTCATCACCCCCGGCCCCCTACCCCTGCCTGGTTGTTTTGCACTAGCCCAGCTGTGCGCGTGTGTCCCCCCTCCCTTACTTTCAGTGTGAAAATAAACATCATTTCTGGCTGGTGACACCAGCTGCCGCCTGCTCTGCATGCTGGGAGGGTCACCCCATTTTGGGGAATGTTTGCATGGTGGTGGGGGCTGGCAGGACAGATCCAGCCCCAGCAAGGATCCAGGGTTGCACGGAGAGGCCAAGCCTGGCACCTTCCCCAAGCCCACTGCACCCATGGGTGATGGGGAGCGGAGGGGGGAGACAGACCTCGTGGGTGCAGGCACTGAATCATTTATCAATCTTCATAAATATGCAGATGAGCAGTGGTGATGGGAGCCCTCTGCCTGCCGGCATTAATTATTTAACACGGAGGAGATGATGATGATGTGCATTGCTGGCTGCCTGCGCAGCATGCGGCTTGGCCTTGGCTCCAGCACCCGGCAGCCCGTGCCAGGTGCTGCCCCCTGCCCCTTTCCCCCCCCAACCCCAGGGACACCCCCAGGACTCCCTGCACCCCTGGGACCCCGGCAAATCAGGTCGTTTGATACCTTTCCCCACCATCTCTTGGAAACAAAATGGGCCAAGCTTGGCACTCGCTGCCATAAAGCCACACTGCGCTAATGCGCTTTCATTAAGTGGGAGCGATCTAATGATAATAAAATGGCACATTTAACATTAAAACATTTAACTTGACTCCTAAGCAAGTGTGTCTCTCTGCGCTGTTCCAGCTCCATCTTCATGAGGCTGACAAAGCTCCTTAATTTTTTTTCTGGGGAGCAGGCACTCGGCAGAGACAGCTTGGCACTGCACGGCATGGGGGATGACAGGATGCAGGAGTACAGGGATGCTGGGCTGTCAGGGTGCAGGGATATGGGGATGCAGGGGTGCTGGGATGTGGGAATGCAGGGATATGGGGGTGCAGGGGTGCTGGGATGTGGGCATGCAGGGTACCAGAACACTGGGATGTGGGGATGCAGGGACGGAGGGGTACCAGGATGCTGGGGTATGGGGATGCAGGGGTGCTGGGATGTGGGAATGCTAGGTTGTCAGGATGCAGGGTGCAGGGGTACGGGAGTGCTGGGGTGCACACATGGACAGCTGCTGGGACAGAGGGGTGCCAGGATGTTGGGTGCTGGGATGGTGGAGACATGAGGATACAGGGAGATGGGGACATGAGGAAGCAGGGATGCCAGCATGCTGGCATGTAAGGACATCAGGCTGCAGGGACAGAGCTGCGGGCCAGCACAATACAGTGCGGGCACAGCTGGGGCCCCACAGCTACAGCGCAGCCTGGAGCACGCTAGGGAAGCGGGTAATGGCAAAGGGGGCCATGCTGTGGGACGGCTCCTCGCCCAGGCTCAGCTCGCACAGCAGCTTCCCCACCACCGGCGCCAGCTTGAACCCATGGCCTGCAGGGAGGAGAGGGTGGCTGGGTACCGAGCACAGCCATCCCCATGACCCTGGCCAACTCTGGTGTGCTGGGGGCGATGTTGCTGAATTTGGGGTGCCGGTCCAGGATGAAGTCTTCATCCGGGGTGTTCTGGGGGAGCCATGGTGTGAGCGTGTGGGGCCAGGGGGTCCTCTCGGGGCAGGGGGAAGGGATGGCAAGGTCCACCTTGGAGTGGGGGAGGGGCTGGGACCCCAAACGCCTGGGTCCTGCTCCTGGAGGGGGTCTCACCGTGTAGAGGCAGGTCTCCACCACGGCTGGCCAGGGATCCAGCCCGGGCAGGTAGTTGCTGATGAAGCTGCTCAGGAGGGCGATGTCAGGGCGGGGGGCACCTAGGGAGGTCTGGTCCCGCTCCTCAGGATCAGCAAGGCTGCCATGGTGGTAGCACACCTGGGGGGCAGCCACTCAGGGGGGGGCCGGCTGCAGGGTGCCCCCCGCTGCCACCGTGCCCCACTCACCTTGACCAGCCCTGGGTACTCGAGGGCAGGCAGCCCGTAGATGCCGTGAGGGGCTCGGCTCAGCCCCAGGGCCATGAAGCAGGGACTGGCTCTACTGGGGCTGGGTCTCCCCAGCTCTTTCTCCCTCCAGTAGCAGACATTGATGCGCAGGGTCTGGGGTCACTGCATTAGCCCTGGCCATGGCCGGGCTGCCCCGCAGTGCCACCAACCCTTACCTTCAGTGGCAGGCAGAGACCCAGTTGTGCCACGAGAGCACCAGTCCAGGCTCCGGCTGTGATGATGAGCCGGGGGGCTCGGTAAACCCCAGCAGTGGTGGTGACGGTGAGGACAGCCCCGGGTTCAATGCGCAGCACCTTCTCCCCATCCCGCAGGGTGCCCCCGTGCCGGCAAAAGACATCCTGGGTGGGGATGGTGATGGGAGGCAGCTGCGGGGACGGAGACACCCATCCCATCCCCTCGGCAGCACCCACCTGCACCGCCCGCAGCGCCCGGTCAGCGAAGAGCACCCCGCCGGTGCCATCCCACACGGCCACCTCACCGGCATGGAGCCGGAGGCCGGGGAAATGCTGGGCCAGCACCGTGGCGTCGAGGACCTGGTTGGCACCCAGGCTGCGCCGGCAACCCTCCAGCTCCGGGTTGCCCACTGGCCCCAGCACCACCAGCCCTGTCCACCTGTGCCCCGGCAGCCACATCAGCTCTTCTCTCACCCCCTCCCCGCACAAACCACCCCTTGCTTTGCCCCTGGGGGAAACTGAGGTGTGGCGGCATCGGTGGTGCTCGGGATGAGCTGCACCCTGGTGGGATGCCGGGCAAGGGTGCATGGGGTGATGCACGGGGAGTGTCTGGATACCGGCATCGCACTCACCCCCTCAAATACAGCAAGCACCATCAGCCCTGACCCTGGCAGCAGGGTATCATTTAGATGCTCATTTCCTTAATGGTGCTTTCTTTACAGAGCTCCATAAATTACCCAGAGCCAGTGACTGCCTCCCCCGCTACATGGGACCAGGGTGACCTCATCCTGCCCAGCACTGCACCCTGATGGAGCAGCAGCTGCAGCCCCCAGCCCAGCCCCGCAGAGAGGGGACGGTGCCCGGCAGGGGCTGCGTCCTCTTCCCCGTCACCTGTAGAGGCTGGGGGCCGCCTCAGCCTCCAGCCGCTTCCAGAGGCGGAAGCTGTCAGGCATCATGCAGGTGTAGGGCGCCCGGGGATAGGCACTGCGGATGATGCGGCTCTGCCCGTGAGAACTGCCCCGCGAGTGGGGCAGGAGGAACTGCAGGGCAGAGGGGACGTGGGGGCGACCGCAGCCACCCCCACCCCCCAGCCCCACCAGCCCGATGTGCACCGGCACTGTGCCACAGTGAGCACCTGGGGATGCAGCCTGCCCTGCCAACCATAGCACTGGGAAATGGCAGGACATGGGGGTTCTGGCACTGGGGACATGGGGGTGCTGGCACCGCGGACCAGGGGTGCCAGCAGTGGCTCAGCACCATGCCGTGGCAGAGGGCAGCCAGGTCTGCGGGCAGCCAGGTCTGCGGGCAGCCATGTCTGCAGGCACCCACTCCAGCATGTTGGGGCTGGGGACATGGTGGGACAGGGACAGGGCAGGGCTGGGGCCATCGGTACCTGCTCCAGCAGGAGGGTGTCCCTGTGGCGCTGGGCCAGGTGGTATGCGGCGAAGGAGCCCTGGATGCCAGCTCCAATGACGATGGCATCGTAGGTGGCCTGGTGGGGCTGGCTCGGGGCAGCCATGTCTGTCCTCGTCCCTGTCCCGCAGCAGCTGGAAGCCGAGCCAGGGGGAGGGACAGGACAGAGTCCAGCTGAGCAGAGTGGGTGGCAGAGCCTTGGCCACCCTCCAGCCCCTATGGGGACAGCAGGGGCATGTGAGGGCCAAATCCTTCCCACTCCTCGGGGCTGGCCAGGCAGGAGCACCTCCATTCCCCCACCAACGCTGGTGCACAGTCCTGGTGGGGAAGGCAGCTTGTACAGTGGCAGGGGCCGGTGGGGAAAATGTCACCAGCAGGCAGGGGCAGACAGGGGAAATGCTGCCGGCTGACAGGGGCTGGTAGGGGAAATGCTGCTAGCATTTCCCTCTGGCAGAATTTATTACAGCCATAAACTATTTTGTTGCCATCTTTTGTTGTTGCTGTTGTTTTTTTTTTAACAGGAGATAGGCATGATTTAGGGCTCGCTGGAGCAGCCAAAATGCAATGCAGAGCCCCATGTCCCACTGGCTGCAACGGATTTTGCAAGCCTGCAAAAATTTGGGATGTGATTTGGGCTTTGGGGACACTCAACAATGCATCGGTGGGGGGATAACATGGGCAGGGGCTGCTGGCTTTTCCCCACCACTGCCACCGCCCTGTGCTGCCTGACAGCTAATTAGGGGAATTAATTTACTCTGGCTTTCATGGTGTAAAAGGCATTATTTACTGGTTAATTGTTGTTATTACGAAATGTTAAATATCATTATTTATTTTGCCGCTCGCCTCCAGTGATGGATGAAGCATCAGGGAGTGCAGGAGGCCCACACTGGGCTGGGGAGAGGTTTCCAGCCCCCACAACCATGGTGCCCAGCCAGACCATGGGGACACCCTGGCACCATACAAAAGCAGAACTGGCAGCTAACAGTGATGGGAAGGTGACAGGAGGCAGATGGGGAGCGCAGGCAAAGGCCGGGCTCCCCCCCAGGCCTCTCATCCATGCTGCTGCCCAGGACCACTAATGCGACGAGTGCATGCTGGTCTCAGTGTCACCTTGATGCCTAGGGCTCTGCATTGTGCAGTGCCCCATTAAATCAGCACATCCTCCCTCGCCTTTGATGTTACAAATAATTCACCAATTTCCCCGGATTTCAGCTTGCTTTTTTTGCTTTGAACAGCCCCGCTACCTGCCCTTCCTTTTTTGCTGGGAAGATGAAGAATAATTAATTATCCATGAAACGTTAAATGGCAAAAATGAACTCCTCTCCCACTAACGGCATGTTAATAGATCGGGCTGGAAAAGCCTCGCTCATGCCACTAGGAAGCTGGGGAGACCATCGGAGGGGTGTGGGGACGGTCACCCAGGCTGGAGGGGACGGCCGTGCCCCGGTGGATGGGGTATGGCCATCTCCTCCAGTGCTGGTGACTGTCCCCAGGGCTCTGCAGGACCCCTCAAGCCATCGCTTTCATTGCGCAGATGACTCCAACCAGAGCTGCTCCCAGGTATCAGGGAGGTCTGCATCCCCAGACCCCAAAAAGCAGCTGCATGGGCTCATCTTGCTTTGGGTGAGTTTTTGGGGTCCCCCTCCCAGCCCTGTGCCCCTTCTCTGGCACCCCTGCCGTCATCCTCTTGACCTGGGTTTAAATGAACCAGGGGCAACGCTTGTGGCAGGAAGAAAACCATTTCCTAAAGCAGCCGGCATGGGTCAGGAGAGCTGCACTGAGAGGACAGTAAAAATGAAATATTCGCTGTGCGGGCTGGGTGGATGGATGGGAAAGCTTGGAGCTGGCACCAGCACGGGAGGAGAAGGTGGAGAAGGTTTGGGGAACAGCCTGGTGCAGGCTGTGGGAGCTGCCCCAGCTCAGAGACATGTAGGGCTGGAGAAACTGGGAATGAGGAGCTTGGGCCGAGGCCAGGCAGGGCTCAGCAGCAGCTTGCTGCCTGCTGAGCTCTGCACTCACTGCACTCACTGCACCCATTGCACTCACTGCACCCACTGCACCCACTGCACCCGCTGCACACTGGGATGGTGGCTGAAGTTCCCTGAAAGCCCATCATCATCCGTGCCAGTGCTGCCTGCTGGCCTGTGCCAGCCTCATCCTGCAGCAAGTGCAAGCCAGCACCTAAAAAAGAATTAGGGAGCAACATCGCTCCCCAGGGAGCCAAGGCCATGTGGCTGCAGGGAGCAGCGTGTCCCCCTCCACCCAGCTGCGGCATGCCAGCTCCGGCTGCACTCGCCCCCATTTACCTCCCCGGCCCTCACCATCCCCAACGCTTTGAAGGCATCTGCAGAGGGCATGTTTGCTTTGTGTCAAAACCAACAACCACCAAAGGCAACCCCTCATTAGCAGTCCAGGTACATGCCTGGGGATGCGTCAGGTGGATTAAAATTATTTGAATATCATAATATTAGAAACTCCAATTTGGCCTCAAAATGCCGTTCTTCCAAGCCCTACCAGGGCTTTGGTGCATTAAACATTGATGGAGCTACCGGCGGATCAAAGTTTCGGGTTTAAGGCTGAAAGTGCTTTGCAGGAGCGCCAGTTGCCCCCCCGCCCGCTCCACAGTCCTCCCGGGACAAGAAGAACCACGGCATTGTTGCCTGCCCCGCTCCCACTGCAGCTGTGGGGCTGGCGGTGCACAGCCCTCGCCGTGGGGCTGGCTGCTGCTCTTTCCTCCCCATGCCAAGCCGTGCAGCACATGGTTTGCCATTCTCCATGGCAGAAGCAGGGCCTGGGATTAAAATTAAAAACCCACCCGGTGATGGTTGCGTGGGCCATGTTTGCAGCCAGGGCTGGCCGAGCTGCAGGGGATCTGTGCCGCGCACAGCATCAGCATGGAGAGGCAAAGCCATCTGGGCTTTCACAGAGACGGGGAGGGGGTTATTAGACAAAGAGCTGGTTTTTTTTTATTTTTAACACACACGAGAGCCGTCCAACAGCCAGCACAGAGCCTCTCAGTGCTGGTGCCAACACCATCTGCCTGCTGCAGGGCTGGCTGCCCCCTGCCGCCTGGCCCTCCCAGGGGAGCAGGACCCCGAGTGGGGACTGGGGGGCGAGTGTTGGCCCCTCTCCATAAGGACTAAGGTCCCCTGCCTCTGTGCAGTGCTCAGCTGCGGGGGCTGCCCTGGGCCCAGGTTTCCCTGCTTGAGGGATGATGAGCCCGGCCCCAATTGGGGCTATTTAAGGGTGAGGAAGGGCAGTGGGGGGGTGGTCTCTGGGGTTGGGGGCTGTGTCTGGCTAGGGTGAGTGTCCTGGAGGGTGCAGCATAGGGGGGTGGCAGCAGTAAGGGGGAGGCAGGATATGAGGGAGTGGGCAACGAGGACCTTTCCTGTGGCTCCCCAGGCCGGGGGGTTGCTGGTATTGGGGGGGTGAGGCGTAGGAGATCCTCCTCCCCCAGCTTTCAGCTCCTAGCATTTTCAGGCGCCGCACTCGGAGAGTTACGGCGCGGGGCTGGGGGTGGGGTGGCAGGGAGGAGCCCCCCTTCCCAGCTGCAGGATTGGTGGGCGCCGCACTCGGAGCGTTACGGCGGGGGGGGGGGGGGGCCCCCCCCCCCCCCCCCCCCGCCCGGCGGGGGGGGGCTCCCGCTTGTATTTACCAGAAAATGATTAATTGTTGCTCGGCGCTGGCCGCTAATGCTGCTAATCCGGG